ATATATAAAGAAAGATTAATAAAAAAAGTAGCAGAATTTAAATATACTATGATAGGCTGGCCTTCTTCAACAAAAGCAGAGCTAGATGCAATTCAAACTTTACTTTTAGCTCTACTAGAAGAGACTAATATAAAGATATATACAAAAAGCTAGACAGCAATTTAAGTAGTTTAAAAGATAACAAAGATAAAAAAATATATAGCTATCTCAAAATGAAGAATAGAAGTATTCTGGAACAAATAAAGTATATGAGGTGACTGAAAATTGAACTGAACAAAGTAAAAGGACATAGTGGGGTTATAGAAAATGAAAATGTGGATAAGCTGATAAAGGAAGAAGCAAAATTAAATAAGATTATTGAAATACAGCTACTATAGACTAGTTTATATATACAGTACTTTAGTAAAAAGTGCTAATAGTAAACAGACCTATTAGAAAGTTTGTGAATTTAATTATAATAGTAATATTAGATGCAGATTAGGCAGAACTAAGTAGAATAAAAAGATAAATAGGTGAGAAAATGAAGAACAGCTTAAATTAAAGGAAAATATAGAAATATAAAGAGTAACAAATGTATAAATAGCAAAACAAATGATAGATATATATTTAGAATTAAATGCTTGAATAAAGTACTGCTAATAATAACCAAGCTAAAAACAAAAAGACCAAACTTATACAAGACCAACAAGTGTATTACATATCAAGAAAAACCAAAAACTATAAACCACTTAACAAGTTGCAAAGAATATCAAGAATATTAGGCATAATAGAAAAGGAAATATGTAATAAAATAGAGAAAATTATAAGAAAAGAAGAGCTTTTCAAAAGGATACTGACTAAGTCTACAATAAAAGAAAATATATTCAATACAATGAATGTAAAGCAGATAGAAATAAGAAGCTATATAATTAGAAGTCTAATTAAAAGAAAACAAAAACAAAGAATAGAGAATATGATTCAAAACAAGAAGTAGCTAGCAAAATAATAAGTGTAGCACTCAATAAGCTCAATGAGAGATTCTATCAGCATATCTAGAATTTTAAATATAAGCTACAAATAGAATATAAAAAGAGAGAAGAAATTTTAAAGAAAGACAAAAAGACAAAAAAGTGCATTAAAAAAAGAAGAAAGAAGTAAAAAAGATTAAAAAAATAAAGAAAACCAAGAGCAAACAGAAGAACAGAAAAACAAGAGAAAAATATGAAAATAATAATATTTAAAAATATAGAGAATCTAGTATCTAGGCTTGATATCCCACAGTTACTTCTAAGAGCACTTACAAGTAACTTACTGCACTAGGCAGATAAATTTACAAAAGATATATTATGGTAAATCTGAAGACCACCTATTCTAGAAAGCCATATCTAGTGTTCGAAAATAGATTAAAAATCTTGGTTAATCCGGAATTGATCTGAATCCGATCCGAATCCGATCCGAATCCGTAATTTGGATTAAATCCAGGAGTGATTCGTGCTAATCCGACGGTTTGTCACATATATTTGTCACAATATAAGTGATAAATTCGAATTTATCACATGACAAATTCGAATTTGGCACTTATATTGTGGTACAAGATGTGATACATTCGAATTTATCACACGACAAATTCGAATTTATCATATAGCGTGATTATATAAAGATATGACCTAAAATTAGGCCCAATCCCGCTCAATCCAGGTCCAATCCGACGTTTCAGAGGCCAAACCTAATCCGACGATTTGAATCCGCACAAATCTGAATCCAATTCATGCCGACTTTTTTGAACACTAGCCATATCAGACCACTGCTTTATAATAGGATATTGCTAATCTAATAACATCTTCTTGTAGAGAAGTAAAAAAAAGAAAAATATTAACACTAATACTAATACTAAAAAAGAAGAAAAGGAAAAATGAAAGTAAAAAAATTTGATAGTCACAATTATAAAACTGTATCAAGCTAACAAAAACTATATATTATAAGATAAAGAAGCTCTGTATCTAACTTTATTCTAATAATATATCTAATTTATACTAAAAAAAAAGAAAAATAGTAGATTTCAACTAGACTAGACAGAGTAGTAAAAGAAAAATATAAATAGTCTTGAAATATTGTTTAAACGGTTTCTTTTAGTCGAAACATGTCACCTAATTGTGTTGTCTTTTAGATATATTTAGTTGCTTAATCCAGAAATTTATTGATTTCATGTTTACTAAAAATAAACAAACCATTTTAGGAGAGCTAACCTGTTTTGGATTAGATAAACAATACTGACTGTTTTAGAAAATTACATATTGATATTTTGGAAAGGATAAATTGAGATGTTCACTTTTTGACAAAATTTTCTCGAAAAAAGTGGTAGATCAATAAAACTTTGTGGGTTCTTCTTTATAAGTTTTACAGTTATATAGGTACTATCTCTAGTTTTTTTAATATATTTAGCATTGACTTAGTCGTTTTGTGTTCCCAGAATAACCTTCTAGTTTGGATGCTAAATATAATAGAAAAGTTTACCTAGCAGAGAAGTTTAACCTTTACAAAAACTATCTAAAGTAATTTGCTCCTCGGTTTATACTCTTGGTACTTTATTGGCAACACACCTACTTGTGTAGAACCAAGTATATTATCACTCTTTGATGTCTTCTATAATGTTAACCATAGTTTAGTTTTTTGAAATTGTTAACCAGAGGATTGTTAGAAAGAGTTTTTTTTGATAATCAATTTTTAAATATTTTTTTTTGTTTTAATATTCCTTTTTACTCTTATTTTCTTGCTTGTATTTTTTATCATTATCCTCTATATCTCTGTATGTTTTTTATTTGTTTTTTTTTGTTGAGCTTCTTAGTAAAGCATGTAGCTGCTCTAATTAATAATTATTAAAATCAAATCCTCAGTAAGTTGAGGATCCAATATGAAGTATAATGCTGCTAGGCAGATTACACCTAAACCTTAGTATTAAGTTTCTTTATGTAGGATTATAATATAAAAAATTGTATTCTTTGTTGATATTAATTTTTTGATTTTTCAATAAAACATAAGACAGAACCACTGAAAGATGTTCTATAGAATAGGTGGGCAATATAAGAAATAAGCTTTGCTAATGATTAGTAATCATTAATTTTTTAATATTAAAGTTGCAGAGTTGGTGGAGTTTGTTTACCTATTCTATAGAATATTCCCACTGAATTATAAAAAAAAAATAAATAAATAACAAATAAATACAGTCTAACCTCTCTATAATCTCACTTCTTGGGATAAAGATTTATGTGATTGTAAAAAGAATTTTACTAAGATGTGGTTTTTTTCTATATGTTTATAATAGTTGGATTAAAATAAATGTGCTTATAAAGAGAATTTTTATATGAAGATCTTATATAGAGGGTGACTATAGGGAGGTTTGACTGTATATATATTTAAAATTAAATTTTAAACTTAAAATAAACCAAAATATTAATAAATTTAAAACAATATACATACATTTAAAAAACATACAGTTTAAAAAACTACGATTAGAATATTTAATTTTCTAATAATTTACCTATATAAATACAGTATATATAATATATATTTATATATTGAAAATTCTTAAAAACGGCAAGAGTAAAAATTTTAAATATTTTGATACTTATAAAATTTTTGAATTGCCTTTGTTAATAGTTAAATTAGGATTTATAATTACTGTAGTTTTGATAATAAAAAAGTGCGTATAAGTAGATTTTGGAGAACAGCTTTAGCCGCGACAAATAAATGTAATTTTCATGCTATCTTCATTATTGTAATTTGTGATATGATTTTGCATTATTTTTTACGTAACGATGATATACTTTCGTGCGCATGTATGTACGCCAAGAGAAAATCAGAATATCTTCACATGGCGCCACTTAAATTTAATGTGTAAAACTTTTAAATATATATTAATTATATAAGAAAATTTTACATCTTTAACGTTAACGTTAAGAATAAGTATTTCCGAATAAAAAAAAAGGCTTTATGGTATACGTATCGATATTGCATATTGTTTTATGAAATTTACTGTTTCAGATATATTAAGTATATTTTATTGTATTTATTAATTTCCCAAAATAATGATAGCGCCACGGAATGAATAAAGAAATAACTCCAGTAGTTATAATAAGAATGATAATTTATTAATAGCAAACGAATTACTACTTTATAAGTAAATAACTTTCAAAAAATATAACTAAAATTAGTCTAATTTAAAATGACGTAGTATTACATTTGAAGCATCATTTGAATTTTTTATCTGTTTGTAATACAAAAACTTAAAGTTTGGATAAAAATCAACTTACTGTAATATTTCAGTTTTATTCTTGATAAAGAATCTTTTTTTATCCTTAATGATTTCAATTTTTTTTTTTTAATTATTTAAGTCAATATAAGCTTTTTTAAATTTCTTATCCTATAATCCTGTCATTTATAGTAATTTTGTAACTGTTGGATTGATTAACGTTAAATTTTTTGCATCATATTTAAAAAGAAAACCTTTTGCTATAACGATAACAATATAATGATACGATTTTGTATTTTAAAATTTCTTTTTGTGATTTTTTTAATAGTAATAATAACTATACCGAGTAGGTTTTTTTTTTATCTACCGCAGTACTCCGACATTACGCGATTGCATAATTATAACAAGAAAATTCAACTAACCTATATTAACTAAATATACTGTATATTTATTTAGTTAATGCACAGAACTCAAGACCAGTAATAACATTATATTCAACTTTAACAGTTGCTCCAACTGGAACACCATCACATTCTACATCTTCTTCAACATCAACTGCTCAACAAAAGCCTCAGGATGAAGCTTCTAGAGTTGGAATTATTTGCGCAGTTTCATTAGCGGCGTTTATTCTTTTTATCATATCAGTGATTACTGTTAGATACATACTACGTCAACGACGGCATGATCTTAGATATGGTAAGTTTAATACGTAACTTTCGTAATATATTGATAAATATATAACTTTATATACAAATTATTTACCCAAAAAGGAATGAGCAGCGCAAAAATAGAGGCAAGTGGGCTTCCAGAAGATGATAATCCTACGGGTCATGGAGGCCCACGAAGGAAGATAAGGGCAGGACACGGTAGTGGTCTCGGACAGCCACCAATTCATCCGGGTCCAACGTATCCAGGTCCAACGTATCCGGGTCCAACATATCCAGGTCCAACATATCCGGGTCCAACATATCCGGGTCCAACATATCCGGGTCCAATATACCCGGGTCCAATATATCCGAGTCCAAGAAATAATTCACAATATAATGAACAAGGTGAAGATAATAATATATTGAGAATTGCAGGTGATGAAGATGGACGAAAAGATGGATCAAGAAATTATGGACCATCTGAGGAGGAAATTTTAAGAGTGCCTAGTGCAAGGGAAAGTATGAATGAAACAAAGCGATTAGCTCAAGAAGCATTAAGAACGAAATCAAGAGAAGAAAATTCGAGAGAGTCACAGCAAGTTTTGACGTTTTCCGGAAATACAGAAATTGATACCAATCTTAAAGATATCACACAATAAATCAATCATTTACATGTGTATAATTAGAAATCTTTAAATTTTAAAAAACACGCTATATACATTATATATATTATATATATTATATATATTTTTATTTTTGGGAATATAATTTAAATCTTACATTAATAACGTTAACGTTAATGCATCATTAATTTCATGCATAATACTAATAGCCACACAAAATATCATATTTCTAAAAAAGTATTTTTACGTACGTACGTACTTATCTTTATACGTATACTATATATAATATATATTTATTTAAAAAAATTTTTTTTTAAAGCTTCAACATTAAAAATTGCTAATCCGTATCAGTATCGATATTTCTTGGGAAAAGAACCTTTCATAGGTTTAAATTTTATACTTGATTAAAAACTATATTACGTATTATTATTATATTTTATAAAGCACTTATTACAGATTAAGGAATATATTTAGACAAATTAAACCAACGCCAACTAAACCGAAGAAACTTGTAGAAGTTGTAGAAGCCGAACTTGCTTTTTTAGTGCTATGTCGATATTAATATAAATTAGATATTGTGTACATTTGTAAACAATGCTTTAAAATGATGCCTTAAAAAAAATTTTTTTTTACGCACGTGTTAGTTGAGCTTGAACCTGTAGGCTTCGCAGCTTGTGAAGAAGTACCGGTACTAGGATTACCACCATTTGGAGTAGGTTGTTTATTCGCAGGGGGTGATGCGGGTGCAGGTTCTGATGTTCCTGCAGGTGTCCCGTCATTCGGACTTGAAGGGGCGCCAGGCAATGGAACTCCAGCAGTCACTTTAAATGTACCAGAAAATTTTTCACCACTACCATCATTGATAACAAATATATACTCTCCTGGAGGAACGCTCACTTCCCATTGTTTACTTAATGCGTTAAGATCTAGTGCGTTATCTATCACGGTATCTTCATTTGTTTGTTTATTACGTACACTTAAAATGGCTGCCATTGCGGGCGCAGCTCCTGATAATGACCAAGTAATTTTAGCAATAGCTTTCGTGAAAAGGTTTCCAGTTGGTGTATTGACCATAACCTCTGTTTTTAGAATGATATTCGTTAAAAATTATGTTTTGCGAGAAGAAAAACGTAGACTGTGAATATATATTCTACATGTAATTAAAATAAATTATCGTTAATGTGACATTTTTCTCAGTTATCATATCAATCCAAAATTCTTAAATAGATCAGAACGTATACATACCACCAGCAGTGACAAAAATAACCAAAGAAGCAATAACGAAAAGCGCGATAGTAAAGAAATGTTTCATTTTTTTTTTTCTTACAATGTTTGATTAGCTTTCTTTTTTTATATACAATCTTTTTATTAATTTTCTTATATAATTATTCTTGTGAGTAAAGAGAAGTGTGAATAACAGGCAAATCTTTTGAAATTTCTCACTAATTGTTATAATGAGGTTGGCAATATTTAAAGGAAAAAATTCAATTGTAAATTACGTAACAAATGTAAAATATGCAGCATAATAACAATAGAATATGAACATATTTAATAAATTGTCAAGATAAAAAAAAGTGGATGAACGAGGAGGTGTTGCCTGACACTTGTGTACTTAAATCAGGCTTAAAAATCCAACTGAGGTCATATATCGTAAATTCATTTTGATCAAAAAAAGATCTTTGAAAATGTTAAAAATACGTGAAGGTCGATCGATCGGTGATAACTTCAAGAGAATCTGATTTTAATAAAAGAGGGAAAAACTCGAGTTTCGTATTATGGAATCTTTAATCTTATAATTGTCAATTCATGCTATATATTAGATTTTATCATTATACAGTGTATGTACACTGACTTAAATCTCTAGTTTTATATTATGAGTGAGCCAAAATTTTTGTTACGCTTGTAAAGATCCAAATCATTTCTTGATAATATGTAAGGAATCTATCTCAACTTTTCTACGTAGATGCACCCCTTTCAATAGACTCCCCTTTAGGTCCCAATTCGATCCTTAGATAATATTCATGTGATTATTATTATTATCCTACTTTATGCACCGATATAGTAAATTCTAATAATATAGTATATATAAATTTTAATAATAAAAGATATCAACGACGGTGATAGTAAAATATATAACTTCTGAATCAGCGGACTATAGTACCCCGGATGCAATACATTCCACAGCTAAAATCTAGGTTAGTACCCGGGTATTATATAAGAGGTGTATTTTTACATAGAAATGATATATGCTACGTAGTTAATACCCGGGTATTTCACTCTGTAAAGTTGTATTCAACTGCGAAAAATTTTTATAGGGGGTACTTTGATGTGTGGGGTACTATGATCCGCGCTGTATGGTACATTTGTCGGGTTCGTTTTAATATGCCCTTTAAAGTAACAATGCTCTTTTTTTTGTTTTCTCACAAATTATTCGACATTTTTTTGTTACACACTATGCAACGGCGACAAACAGAAATTTCAATGTTACGTTATTGATATTTTTATTAAAAATGCATCAAGAACGAGAACACGAGAACTTTGCGTAGAAATTGATACACTCCGACGCCCCTAGCTCTCCCACAAAAATTGTTCACCCCTTGTAATTTGACCAATCGAATTTCGAAACGAAACCACTTTTTTACAAAAAAACAATACCAACTCTAATTTTAATTAGGAACAACATTCTGCGGCCTAATTAAAAATGTTCCTCGTGATGTTTTACTAATAAGCGCTACATTGTTCTAATCCCATCTAACTACTGTATAATACGGGTTTCTTGGTTTTCATTTTACACGTAACTTTTTTACTTAGAAAACAAAACACGTTTGTTTTGGCACCTGATCTTAAATTTTGATTGGTCAAAATTACTGGGAACGTTACCTAAAATGATAACTCCAGACAACGAAAATAAAAAAAAGACGTGATTACGAGCATGTTAAAACGAACCCGGCCAATGTGTGTGGGTTTACTGGTTCGTGAGTTATTGCAGCTTGAATTTTATTAGATATTTTACTATCATCGTTTTTATAACTTGCATTATATGAGTGCTGCAGAGCAAAAACCTGTAACTGATCATAGTAAATCATTATAATCAGTTACAGGTTTTCGTTCTGCAGCACACATATTTGCATTATATTTGTAATTAGACCGATAGTATACACCCCAATATTTTACTAAAATTTTGGTGTTTAAAAAATTGATTCATCTTGCGCGCTAATAATTTTTTTTTCTGGAAATATTTGCGGCAAATGATTATGATAATGTTGTTACAGTTTTAAATTTTTCATTTCCATAAGCTAATTTATAATAAAATTCATGTATTAATTAAAATTTTAAAACTAGCTTTTTTTGCAATATTAATATATTTATTTGCCGCAAAAATTGCTAGAAAAAACTATTAGACACTCGATATTTCACTATACTGTATATACATATATAAGTATATATATAAATTATATATATCGTTTTTGTCGATCTATCATGCATAAAATCAGTACTACGTACGTACGTACGTATTAATTTTTAACGTAGTATATGAGTGTCGCTAAAAGAAAACCCGAAACTTTAAATATGACTTGTATTTAAATTTTCGGGTTTTCTTTTAGAGACACTCATATATATGAAATACCCCAATTATTCATGTTAAGATCAGAATTTGATGTTCAAAAAATTGTTTTTGTTGGGGCACGAGGAGCAGTTTCTATTTGAATTTTTGAACTAATGATTCTTCATTGACTACGTTCTGTGTTCCCTCTGAAAAATGAATTAAGGGTTAGGGATGTTATGTGGTCCGGTCTTAGACTAAATAGACCACGGTTAGTCTTAAGACCAGTCTAAACTCGAAAAAAATTGGTTTGCTCTAAGTCTTAAGACCGGACCAGTCTGGACCGGTCTGGACTAACAAAGTCTTAAGAATGGAGACCATAATAGACCAGATCAGACCTAGACCAAAATAGACCGGACTGTTAACATCCCTATTAAAGGTACATTTTAATTAAACTAATATGTAAAAATAAATCTTAATTTTTTATATTTCAAAAATCTTTCGATTATGCATATTAATTTCATCTGGATTTTGCTTTTTTTAAACACCTTAAATTACCGCATACTAATACTTAAATTATGGTATTTAATATGTATGCAAAAAATAATTTACATTAATTATAATTTAAATCATTATATTTAGGTTGTCGTTATTATATTTAGCATTCCATTTTAATTATATATGTTACGAGTCAAATTGGTTTTTAAGTCAGTTAAACTTGACCCGGGTCAAATTGATCCCTAGCAAAATTTTAGGGTTAGGGCGGGCCGGAATTATTTTGATGCCGGCCGGGATTTTTTAATTGATCAATTTGACCCGGTCAAGTTTAACTTGACCTAAAAACCAATTTGACCCGTAACATATACACAGCAGTGCACAAAATTTTTCGGGTGATGTGATCTGCTTTTTTTCTGGCAATGCTTTTTTCATCGAAAATTAGAACCCACAGCCGGAAGTAGTAATTTTTAATAATTACATACGGTATATTTTGATCATACATATTATATGTTGTTATAAAGAACGAAAATTTTTCGCCTAATAAAAAATCAAACTGGAAGTTGACTTCATTAAATAGAAATCTCTAACATTTTAAAATAAATTTTGTGTTCTGATTTAGCATCTCTATTGTTAGTAAAAAAATATATATGGATAATAATCAAGTTTTAATTTATATAACAACTATATATTTTTTTTTATTGCAAATTGTTAAAATATAATTTATGTATATGTTGTACCTCAGATCACTTCTCGCCTCAGGTGACGACTGAGGCATCTCAGATATTAATCATTAGGTGAGGTACTTAACCTGTTGATCGGTTATCTGAAATGTTTTGATCATTATTTGAGGCAAGATAATTGTCATCACTATCAAGAAACCAACTTTTTAATTGTAAAGATGTAATTGTCCGGAGCATAGCATAGGACTCACATGTTTATGCGCTTTGATAACTGAAATTACTATTTTGATGCATCTATAATAAGAATATCAATAATGTAGTTTCGGTATTTTCCGTCTGTAATGCTACATATCTAAATTTGAATATTTGTGTAACAACAACATAAAAACAAAACTTTTACGTGTATGGGTATTACCCGGGTTACCCACGGGTTCATGGTTAGACATTCGTTTGATTGGCTAATGTAAATTAATTACTCAGGTAGCTTATTTATACACTTTAGAGTACTTTTTGATATTGTAATGTTTCACTAATAAAAAATTATCACAAAAGCTATTTTTTGCTTTAAACTA